TCTTGTACTCATTATTAGCTCATTTCCTGCCCTGCCTTCCCCCCCTCCCTCCCACCATACCCCCAAGCATCCATTAATCCAGTTACTGTTTCTATAGATTTACCTGTCATGGATTTCATATGTCTTTTCTGACTCAACAATCCTATGTACATGTGTTACTCGGGGTACTGTAGAGAAACAAATCCACAGAAACTCATGTATAAGGGAGTTTTATATAAAGGATATGTGCACATCAAGAAAGCATCCCAATCCAGTGCTGCCCAAGCCCAAAAGTCCAACATTAACCCATATGTCTGACACCAATCCACAAAGTCCTCCTCCATCTCACAAAACAGACACAATGATACCGACTACAGGAGGAAAGCCGAGTCTGTGAATGTGTAAGTATCTCAGCGCTGGCAGGGGTCTCCGCACGGCTGCACCAGCACCCAGGGCTGCATCGGGGTAGGTCCATGTGGCTTCTCCTCAGGGATGTCTTGCAGGAAGTGAGCCTTGCCAGCTGAAGCAGGGAACTGGCTAAGGCAGCCGCACCCTGGTCCAACCATCAGAAAGCAAGAGACCCAAGAACTAGAAAGGCGAGGCTCACCGAGCCATTTATCCCTTTGCCCTTCAATTAACCCCATATGTTTATTGGCCAGGTTGGCACAATAAACTACCTCAGTACAGAAATGAAAACAGACAGAAATATTGCTTAGTCTTATGATCATGTGAGATTGTGAAAAGAAGTCGCTTATGGCCCACCAAGGGGGTTGGACAGCTTGCTACTAATGCAAATACAGGTGTATGGCACATTTGAGGGGTTGGCATTAGGCAAATGAGGCATAAGAAAGCCTAACAAGCCAAGTGGTCTATTTCACCATCTGCTAGTCTTAAAATGAGCCATCCCAGAGACAGAAGGGGATCTCACTACCACTAAGAAGAGTTGGGAGTAGAGTACATCTTCTGGACTTGGCGTCATTGCCTTGGGGACCTCCTAGACCAAGGTGACAAAACTATTCACACCAGAAACAACAACAACAAATGGGAGTGGCAGAACCAGGAGACAGCATGGTGGGCTTCCTGGCCCAGTGATCGAGAAAGCTGAGCACCTTCGGCAGGAGGCCTGCTGGCAAAGTTGGGTACCACTGGGCATGTATTGGTGAGAATAGCAGGGTAGAGTGTGGACCAGCCCAAGAGGCCAAAGTTCATGGAGAGACATGCCTGTGGGCACCGCAGAGAAGAGGTTGTCCTGTCTGGAGCTGTGTCCTGAGGCATTTCTGAACTTGAGTTGTAATCTATTACTTCCCTAATAGACCTCATAATCATGCACATTTTGAGTTCTGCAGAAAAATCAGAAAAGTGGTGCCATGGCTGGTGTCAGAATTGGTAAAAAGATTGGAAGGAGGAGGTATTCCTCCGCCACATAGGAATCAGCCCTGGGCTTTTGATCTTGATTCTTCAACCCCCCTTTGTGCCCCTGCCACACTCTTTTTCGTTTTATTGTAAAAGTTACATAAGTATGCCCTTGACATTAATTACACTCACCATGTTGTGCAGGTGTCACCACTAGTTCCAAAACTTTTCATCATTCTGAAGAGCAGCTGCCCTCATTAAGCAGTCCCTCGCTTCCTCTCCCCCAATACAGTGACTGCTGACCTAGTTCCTGCCCATGAATTTGCCTATTCTAGATTTTGTCTAAGGACTCATTTAATTGTCCTTTTTTGTGTGTGGTTTATTTCACATAAAGAGTGTTTTCAAGGTTCATCATATTAGTACATCTCAATACAAAGCATTCCTTTTTATGGCCAACTACTATTCCATTGTGTGTATGCACCGCGTTTTGTTTTTCCATTTCCCTGTTGATGGGCGTTTGGGTGGTTTCCACCGTTAGGCTGTGGGGAATAACACTTTCTTTTGAGGACCAGTGCTCTGTGCACACTGGTGTACTGCTCTCTGTCTGAGCCCGTGTTCCGCTCTGAGGCAGACATACTTAGGGCTAGTGCTTTGTGTACAGCTATGTGTGGGGCCAGGGGGTCAGAAGGTACATCTTTGAGGAGCAGCCAAGCTTTCTCACAGTGGCTGCACCGTTTCACATTCCCACCAACAAGTCTCCAGTTTCTCCGCATCCTCATCAACACTTGTTATTTTCCTTTTTTTTTTTTTTGGGTAAGCACCATCTGAGTTTAATTTGCATTTCCCTGATGACTAATGGGAGCCCTGGTGGCATAGAGGATTAGACTTTGGGCTGCTAACCGCAAGGTCAGCAGTTTGAACCACCATAGGCTCCTGGGGAGAAAGATGAGGTTTCTGTCCCTGTAAAGAGTGATACTCGTGGAAACCCCTGCACCCAGGGTCACTTTGAGTTGGAGTCTTGTGAGTAATGAGTGTTGATAGTCACCATCTTCTCCTATGTTTGTTACCTGGGGAGGGGGGAGGGGGGAGGGCACCGTTTGCTTGTTTTGTTTTTTAAACAGCCAGTTTTTATTTCATCAAAAACTGCAAACCCCTCTGCTTTTTTTTATAAGCTGAAGCTTTTCCATTCTGTACTGGAATCACTTTATTGTTACTGAATCCTGTAAATATATGACTATGTAACTTTATATTTACTCCTGGTAAATTTTATCTTCCTGGTTTACACTTATATTTTAGCCCTGTTTTGTGTTATTGGATAATTCCTTACAAGCTAGATCAGCTTAATCTGGGTCATTCTCCAAGCCCCTTCTGGGTAACCGAGTTGCACTCCATGTTGATCTGTAGATCCCGGGTGCACAGAGCGGCCAGCCCGCATCCCTCGTCTGATGTTAAGGCCTGTGCCGCTTTGAACCCACAGCCCTTGGGAGCAAGAGGAGGCTGTCTGCTCCCGTAAAGATTTGAAGTCTTGGAAACTCAAGAGGGCAGTTCTACTCGGTTCTGTAGAGTCGCGCTGTGTCCAGATTGGTCCAGTGGCAGTGAGAGAGCCCCAGTTTTGACAGCTGGATTCCCTCGGAGCCACTCGGGGTTTTGAGTTTGCTGTTTGAAATTTCTGAAGACCACGGGGACTACAGAGAGACAAATGGCTGGTGCCCTGAAGAAGGGACTTCATCTGGAAGCGGGCTCGTGAAGACCGAATGTATTTGTTCCACAGATAGTGGCCGTGCTCCTCCCTTGTGAAGAGGAGGCCTCGTGGTCCCGCAGTGAGCTGCGGTTACAAACAGCCAGCCGCTCCTTGGCAGAAAGAAGCGGCCCTGTGCTGCCGTAAAGATGGCAGCCTTGGAAACACCAGGGGGCCGGGGGCGGGCCGCCCTACCCTGCAGGAGCCCTCTGTGCTGGAGCGGAAGGCGCCACAGCCATGAGTTTAACTTGGTGCTTTGACTTGTGAAAAGTACAAAATGCTTTCAGAAATCAAAAGATGAATAAAACATACTCCCTGCGTTCAAATCGACTGCAGTACAGAATACCAAAGGCCTTTCCGATTATAACGCAGAGCGCGTTAGGGCGGGAGGACTACAGGCTCCATCAGAAGTCGCCGTGCTCTCTGGCATGATAGTTCTTTATGGATGGGGCCTAAGCAGAGACTCGGACGGAATGAAAACTCTCCTGGTGAAAGGGTTCGGAGTTTAGCTGTTGCTGGAGTTGGGCTAATGGAAGAGCACCAGGAAATCAAAAAGTGCTCTTGCTCTTGACAGTATGAAATCGTATTATTTTTAGAGAAGAGTCGCTGTGCATTTCTGAACTTCTTTGTCAGAGCACTTTAGTTAATAGGTATGTAAATGACTACTTATTTCGCGTGTGGGTGGCTCACTCCAGGTACACTTTCTGAGGAAGCGTGAGGCAGGAAAATTATGAGCATTGGGGTGGGGAGAAGCACACGTTGAGGGTTCGTGTGTGCTGATAGCGGGCGGAGAAGGCCAGTCCTCGTGGAGCTGGGGGAGGGGGGGTGTCTCGCTCACACCGCCCCGCCTTGGACAGCCTTGGTGGGAGCCAGGAAACCACAGGGATTAGAGCTCGGTGTTGGTTTCCAAGGACAAAAACCCATGGTGCATGGCCAGAGCCGGATGTCCGGAGGTGCTGAAAGTTGGTGCAAGATGTGCAGTGCAAGCATCCAGAGAGAACGTCTCTTGGAGAGGGGGCTTGTTAATGACTTTATTGGTTTTCAGCATGAAACCGACTCAGAAGGCTGGGCATTCCAATGTCTTTCCGGCTTTAGCTGGCCTCCTGGGATTTGCCTGGAAGCTTCTCTAATAGTTCAAGCATTAAACCAGACCTAGCCTGGGGGGGCGGGGGAGGGAGCCCTGGCGGCAGAGTGGGCCGCCCACCACCAGTTAACAGTAGTTTGAAACCACCAGTCAATCCCTGGGAGAAAGCCGAGGTCTCAAAACCCCACAGAGGGGCTCCCTGTTAGTTAGCGTCAGCTCGATGTCAATGACTTTGACGTTCTTACTCGGAGTCTGCGGGGTTGGGGCCTTGGTACAGCTGCTGAACAAGAGCTCTGTGGTTCCAACCCAGGGAGTTCAGTCACCCAACCGGGGGAGCTCCACTGATGGGGAAGAATCAGTAGACTGTCCAAATAGTGCCTGGCTTTGCCCCTTCTTACGTGCACCCCAACTTTGGAGTCTGTTCCTCTCCCGTTGTGTCTCAATCATTGCATTCGACTTCTCCGACTTCATTCTACTTGTTCTCAGATTCCTGATTGCCAAATTGGAATTCTCATCAAAATTCTCAGCCTTCGCTGCTTTGCTCCCCACTGCCCCTCCTACCCCACAAATGTCAGTTCACGTTCTCCAGAACAGGCTCGCAAGTACGGAAACCCACTCCCAGGCTGCGTCCTGCTTCCTGTGGGCCACCCAAGTCCCATTCCCTGTTTCTGTCCCTGGCAGGGAGCAGATGGGCACAGTGCCTCACGGGGCACACTCTCGTTGGGGCTCCCTGACTTCTGAGGCTGCAGCCGGGCCCCTGACTCCTGCCCCGTGGCCTCACACAGCGGTTACTCAGCGCGTTCCTTTAAAGTCTCACGGGTTTGCGTTTGTTTTCTTTTCCTGCAGGTGCAGAGTGAAGACTGTGTCCTCCTGTTCGTCATTGCGTGGACAGTCACAGAGATTATCCGTTACTCCTTTTATACATTCAGCCTGCTAAACCACCTGCCTTACCTCATCAAATGGGCCAGGTAAAGACGCGGAACAGAGGCCAGCTTTTGACACCGTGCATCGTGCACCTGCCCTTCCGCGCCTCCGCATTGCCTCTAGGCTTCTAACCTAAGACTGTGTGAGATGCGTTGGGTAGAAAGCGGGTCTGTGGGCTTCATCAGGAAGAGGGAGTCTGTCTGCCTGTCCGCTTCACTTTGTTGTCCGTCTGATTGTTTTTACCAGGGGCACTTGGTGAGTCAGGCTCAGAACTGATCGGATAGCACCTCTTTGGACCCTGGTCACTAACCCAGGAGGCCATGGTGAGCAGGGGCCTGAGTCAGAATAGACCACACGGGGAGTGGCAGTGCAGAAGGGAGGCTCTGAGATGTCTTGGGGCCAAATGCCTCATTTCAGGGAAGGAAAACAGTGGCTCCTAGAGAATGTATGCATTTACTGGTTAAACTAGCAACGTAACCCAACTGTGGTCAACATTTTTCAATTATGAGACTGCTTTTTTTTTAGAAACTAGAGAATGGGAAACATATACCAGTTACTAATCAAATATGAAATCCTTCTGGGCAGGCATCATGACAACTGCCTGCCCAAGTTGTGCTGGAGCCTGGATGCACCTGTTAGAGAGAGATCTGTGTCCCTCATCCTCCGTAGCCGGAGAACAGCCTTTGTCCCTGAAGTTGGCACTGGGAGATGTCTTTCTTTCAGTTTGACAGATTGCTCGGCGCAGGCCCTGTGCCTGGAAGCGTGGAGCTCGGGCTTATTGTGAGCTCTGGACACGAGCGAGGCGCTAACACCGGAGCTGGGGGTTTCTTGTGCAGCATGTGTGCTCCAGAACGGCCTCCAGCTAGTTCCAATGCCCACGGAATCCTAGTGACACACCGTGACAGTTCATCTAACCACAGCTTGTGTGTCTGTGTCTGTTTTATTGGAAAGTTAATGACCAAAACCTACTGTTATGATTTTATATTTTTACCTTCTTTAATGCTTTCATCTATCACAGTAGCTTGCACTGACATATGAAAAATTATAACATATACATACTATGATATACTTACTGGGTTTTTGTTGGTTTTTTCCCCAGTCCACAGACTACACTTGCTGCTTGGTGCAGGGCTTCTTAGCTATCCTGATCCAATATCTCCTCCCATGCCCCCCTCCATACCCCAGCTCCTCCTGCCTTATCCCACGGGGAAGGATTGTTGCTTTACCTAAGGCCTCTGCCATCACCTTGGTTACTTTAAGAAGTGGTCTATTGAGTCAGCCCAAGTTTTGAGGCTGACTGAACACATCTAATGTAGAATATTCAGAAGCATGCATCTGCCGCCAGCCCTTCTCAAACACTGCCTTGTAAACATCTTGAATGGAACCCTGTTTCCCACTGTTTAAATCATTTTCCCGCCATTACAAATGTGATCAACCCTAAGTCGCTAGAAGACCAGGCAGGGCCTATTGTGTGAGCAGGATGGGAGTGCCTCCCTCCCTCCCTCAGTGCAGGCTGTCTTCACACCAGTAACCGCTCTTTGTTTTGTTCCAGGTACACACTTTTCATTGTCCTGTACCCAATGGGCGTGTCGGGAGAGTTGCTCACCATATACGCCGCCTTGCCCTTTGTCAGACAGGCGGGCCTGTACTCCATCAGTTTACCTAACAAGTACAATTTCTCCTTCGACTATTATACATTCCTAATTCTGGTCATGATCTCTTACATTCCACGTAAGTAAACATTTCTGCCTATATTTATTTATGTCTGTATGTCTGTTTAAAAACTTGGTTCTGCATTAACCAAGCGTTTTGAACCTCTTTGCTTGTTTAATGCCATATCCAAGTAAATGGGTATCTCTGATGTACTGGGGAGAGCCTTGGCTTTGATCGAAGGCTCACAGCTGAGGAGTTTTCTCTGGCAGTGGTTGAATAAAGAGGTGCCCTGCTAGCACAGCTGCTGGAACTCAGCCCTGCTCAGAATGAGGTGTGAAAGAACCCCGAGCTGGGGCCTTCTCTACTAGGGGCAAATTCAGGGTGGGGAGGAGCCCAGGTGGCATGGCAGTTAAGAGCTCAGCCTGCTCCGTCAGAACACGTGGCCACCCGCTTCCCTCCCAAGCCCTCAAGTGCATGGGCTCCAGCTGACCAGGTCACTGGGAGCGAGACTGGTGGTGGCAGTGGGCTTGGCTTTCATTTCTGCACAGCTGGGGAGCGGCCATCAGAGAGCTTGCCTTGGTGTGATTGTTCTGTCCCTTGAGAACCACTCAGTATGGTGTTTGAGAACATTGTAAAAGAGACGCTTGCATTGTTTATTTTTTCAGAATAAATGGTTATTTTGTTTTTAAGGGATTAGTAGTTAACTGGAAACAAAACAAAGTAAAAGTAGATTCATTTCCCACATTCCTCATGTTCTTGTTTGGGAATGAGCAGGAAGACCCTCCGAATGGGGCCTCATGTTCTCTTCAGAATGACTTCCAGGTATTTTCATAATAGGAAGAAAGGTTAGCATGTATGGGTTATTATCATATGTGCCCACCAGCACACATGATAGCAGAAAGAAAACGACATGTAAGGTGAGTGCTGTGTGCTGAGGAATTGAGAATAGTTTTTCCCTCAAATTGTGATGTCCTGTTGTGCATCCTGTGGGTGTCTTCGTGTGTGCAGACGGGTCCTCTTACACCTAAGGACATTAGTGTCTTCTCATTCAGCTGTTTCCAAAGCCATTGTAACCACGGGTCTTCTTTTAGTCCGTCCACAAAAGGTGCTTTGTCCTCCGCCCTGCCCTCCCCCACCACACGTCCCAGGTAAATTGAGGCAGGGTTGGTTTTTCTTCAGCCCACAGCAGTAACCAACTCAATCAACCTACCTGTCATCAGCGATGTTTGTGTCCTTCCCTGGCAGTCACGTGGTGAGAAGAAACGCGTCCAAATTACACGTGAACATTTATCGTAGAGGAATTCTTGTATGCACTTCTGCTCTGCTTGCAGAGTCCACTATGACTTGTCAAGTCCTCTGGTGACGTGGCTGTGGTGGCCAAAGGCCATGGCACTTCCAACCTGAAAGGTAAAAACCCTGAGCCACCTACCTGGGGCAGAAGCAGCTCCGCAGCCCAGCCTGTCTGTCACCCCGCCTGGTCCTCGGTGTGACCGAGCAGCGGCGAGCCTTCTGGCCTCTGCCTGCTGACCTCTCAATAGGGCGGGGCCCATGACAGGATTCCTAAAGGGAAGGGAAGCACCCCCAGTTCCATGGGGCTTTCTTCTCGGCCCTGGAGGGTGCAGGGGAGAGGAGAGAAAATGCAGGCCTGGGACAGCTGTCTTTCTGGAGCGCAGGCAGGACGTGCCCCCACAGACTCTGCTTTCTGCACCTCATATCCTTCCCCGCCCCCTAGGCTTGGCCTCCTCTTGGGAAGAGAGTAACACTCTATCTTTGTGATAGCAGCTAGAATCTTACCATCCAAGGAAAGGGTGGGTCTCACCTAGAGACCAAAAGATTCCCGTCCAATCTCCGAGCCCCTCTCTACCTCCAGATGGCAGCCCAGCCACAGCCACTGTTACAAATCACCTTTGGTGTCTGCTGACGCTGACTGGCCGCTGGCCTGTGCCCGTCCCCTGGGCAGCGGCTGTAATTTAGGTGGTGCACATTGAGACCTGCCTGCGCAGTTCGTTCCTGCCAGCTGCACGTGGCCAGCTTTCAAAGTTTTGTACCCAGAACAGGTCAGGTTAGGATAGGCTACCTATTGTTCCCAAATGTGGTTTCTTTCTCCAATTTAGGTTTCTTCTCAAGGTAGTGAGCAGTTGGTATAATGAGCGGATCCTCCTTTCCCGCGGCCCTGCCCCTGGCTGCTCGTGCAGCTGAAGCGCTGGCTGCACAGCCACACCCACACCAGGGTCTGCCATCAGGGACACTGCAGAACTGCCCCTGTGGAACTCTGCTGGCGAGCTGCGGACAGTCAGGGCCAGTCCCACGCAGGGGCGCCAAGGTTTCCACAGCCCCCCTGGGACGACCCCACTGTCCTTGGACCCGACGACAGGGGATGGGAGACAGGGGTGACTCCCCATGTACCTGAGCTGCGGGCATGCATTTCCATCGCGGAGAGTGGCCGTCTCCTTGGTGGCGCCCACGGCCCCTCGCACCCACGGAGAGGTGCGTGCAGAGCAGGCCTCTGTGTTCTGTGTGCCCTGAACAGCGAGCAGAGGACTCGCAGTGGCCCATTGTCCCGTGAGACTTTCTCAAGTGTTTTCCTCCGTGGAGCTAAAAGTAGAAGCCACACCGCTGGCACGGTTTCAGCCATTTTAGTTGGGTTCCCTCTGAACACATGGGTAATTCAGAAGGAGACAATGCCCGATAGTGTCATCCCGGCCTGGTCACCGAGAAGTCACTGCCCCCCACCCCCACCCCCACTCCCACCGCACACATTTCCTTCTGGGGCCCTCAGAGACTGCTGGGAGCTGAAGGGAGCGAAGGGCCATGTCTGTCCCCATGTTTTTGCATTGGCCAACAGCCTTGTCTGTGGGGGTGGGGGTGTACCAGGCCATCTTGTTTCAGCCACCAGTGAGTGGCTGCTACCTGGGCCCTTCTCCTCTCCCCGAGGGGCTTCTGATGTCACCCTGAGGCCAATGCCACCCTCCAGGGCAGCCAAGCCAAAGCTCAAAGCTGTTCTTTCCTCACGCAGAGGCCAGAAATTGACCGGCCCCCATGTGTCAGTGAGCACAGTTAGCATTCCTTATGGCTTAATATCATAACTTCCAGATTTTACGTTATAGAGCTTGTCAAATTTCTGGCTTCCATACCAAAATAGTCCTCTCGCTATTATACATATAAACTGGGTCCTTTCTGTGAACAGCTTCCTGCCTGAAAGTAACGTGTGCGGCTGGCCCTATGCAGCGCGGGCCTGGTGGGCAGCCAGCAGAAGTCTGTGCACATCACCCACTGGGGTCTTGGCGGGCTCGGGGAGGAGCAGAGGAAGCCTGGCCACCTCGTCCCATTGAGGAGGAGGACACTGCTGACTGGCGAGTTGGCAGTAGTAGAAACCGAGCTCCCTGAAATGAAAACTACTCTCTGAAAAATAGAGATTTGAGCTGTTGGGAGAAGGAAGGCTATTGTATCATACCAACAAGACCATCTCTTCTTGGGTTGTTTTTAAACGTGGTCTTCAACACCTAGTTTATGGCAACCCTTATCAAACCCACACACCCTGGAATAGCATTTCGCAGCAGGGACGCAGTGGGTGTTGTGTGTGGGGACTTAGCATTCCCGCCCCCACAGGTTAGTCCCAGGAACCCACAACTGCCCTCCCCGTTTATTTCTTTTCTTTTCACTGAACAAACACGTTCATTTTCTCATGGTGTAAGAGGCTAGGAGGTTGAACCCAGAGCACCAGCCCTCGAGGAAGCTCGAGAGGAAAAGGTTCAGGTCTTCCAACGGCGCTGATCCCCGTCTTCCTGGGATCGCCGTGTACCTTGGTATCAGTCTTCCGCAGGGTCTAGGAGGTGCTCAGCGCGGGGGCCCCAGGTCCAAAGGAGGTACGCACTTCTGAGCCTTCACTTTTGGTTGTACCTAGGGCCCCTTCTCTGCTCACCGCTTCCTTTCATCTCTTGTGGGATGAAGGTAATGCAGGCTTGTCCCGCGCGGGGCTTGGACTCGCATAAGGATGCTGCATCCCGCTGGGATCCCTTCAGATCAAGGGGCTGTTCCCAGCAGATCTTGCCATGGGCCTCCTGCTTCTGATGTCCAGACTCTCAAGGGGACAGCACCCTTTAGAGTGCCCTGTCAAAGGAGTAGCAACAGAAACATCAGTGCCAGTGGGAACTGGTTATTTTTCATAAGAATTTTTTTTTTTCATGTTCAGACCTGCCTTTGTTGTATTCGCATCAAAGGTCTCAGCACTCCTGCCCCCAGACTCCCCCTTTCTCAGGAAGTGCTGCTTTACAGAATGCCAGGCACTTGGGATTTAGGTAGGGCGAGTGCCCCTCGTGTCAGAGCCGTGGCAGGGGCTGCACTGAGGGTGAGAACCCCGGAGCCTGGTCAGCAGCTGCTTGCCGCCTCCAGCAGGAGTCGTCGGAGGAGCTCCGTCACCAGACCCTCCTCCGGTGGTAAAGATCCTGAGCGTGGGATCCCCTCCGCTGTATCAGGAAGGGGTCTGGTTTCTCCAGTTCACACCCACGCTGCAGACTCGCTCTCCCTTGCCCCATTCCACTCTCCCTGCTTCCTGTGGCTGGAGATGACCTCAGATCCATGTGCCCCGGTATGACGTGCAGCTTTCAGCCCTTCCCTGACCAGCTCTCGTTTCTCTCCTTCGCAGTTTTCCCTCAGTTATACTTCCACATGATGCACCAGCGAAGAAAGGTCCTCTCGCACACTGAAGAACACAAGAAATTTGAATAGTTCCGGCTCTTGCCCCAAAAACGCAACAAAAACTTTTCAATGATCAAAAAATGCTGCAGACTTTTTGAGTTCCCAAATGTTTCATAGAAAAATAAGTTAAGAACTATTTTTAAATATGGAAAAAATAAATAAAAACCAACCAAAACCAAAATCCAGTACGACACTGGGCCTGGGATTTTATAAAATCAGCTTAGAACAAGGCTGTTAATGCTCAGACATCCGCCTGGCCCATTTCAGCATGCCCTTCCGAGCCAGAAAGTCCTGGTAGTTGGGAGGGCTGGAGGAAGGCCTTGGGCATTTTCTGTCATCCTGTGCCCTCACGGCCATCCGGACGTGACCCCAGGTCCGAGTGCAGCCGCCCGCCCGCTTGTTTTGTCTGCAGTGTGTTTAGGGTTCCCCTTGCAATGTGCTTGGCTGCATGCTGGAAACTATTTGTATTTTTGAAGTGGTAAACTGTTCCCCGGAATGCTCTGAAGTTAGGGTCGGCGCTGTCCCCGCGTATCTAGTGACTGGGTGACAAAAGGTACATGCCTGTGACGCTTTGGGGAAGTGCCCATAATCCGGAAACAACCCGATCTTTGTTTGTTTCCAACCAAATCATTTCTGCCTGCCACTGAGGGACGGACGTGTCTGAATTTAATCCGTGTATGTGCTTTGTGAAGACCCTCCCCGAGCGGGGGCTCAGCCACAAAATGACAGTCTGAGGAAAGGAAAAGAAGGGGCTCCGGCCCCCTCAGAAACGTGTGCGTCTGCCAGTGGCCATGCTGGCTCCGAGGGGCGAGCAGCTGGGCTGAGCATAGGGAACTGCTCTTGAGAGCAGGGATGCTGTGTCTGTGGACAGACACCAAGTCCGGAACCCGCCCAGGAGGAGGTGTATACACCACTGCTTTTACTTCAGCTTCAAATTCTCATTCAGCGCCTCTATTGGGACACTTTTCCTGGTTGTAATCCTATTTTCAGTCCCACCAAGGTTTAAGTCCAAAAGCAAGAAAATGGGCAAGGGAGTAGCCAGGCAGCCACGCTCACCACAGCCACCGCCTTGGCGCCCCGTGGCTGCCTGCGGACTCTGAGGACGGACAGGGGGCCTAGTGCAGACATGCGTCTCATCTTCGTGAGTGCCACCTCTTGGTGGGGCTTTCGTTATGGGTCTCAGGATGCGGTCCTGGCTGTTTTGCTTTCTTCCTTTGTTTCATTGTTAAAACTTTAAAAGTCTTGCTTACTGAGTAGTTATTTTGAGATATAATTGCTAATATCAGAGGCGTGCCATAATGGGGAACTAATTTTTCCAAGGCTTATTTCATAGAACCTTGAAAAACTGAGATGAAAATGAGGAGAAAATATGCAGCCAGCATATATAATATAATGCCGGCAGGTGTGGCATAAATTGGTTTTTGAATTGAACATTAACATTCTGCTGCCTGGGTTCCGTGGGCTGCACCCAGGCGTGGTGGGCGGAGCCTGTCTGTGTCTGAGCTTGACAGTGGAAGCCGTGGGGTCCAGAGAAGCTGTGTTCCTGAAATGTCTCTCCTGAAACCGGAACCCGCTGGGGTGACAGCGAGGCTGTTGTCAAGGAAGGGCTGCCCGGACGCGGGCTTTGTGCCAGCCCCAGTTACCGTCTCTTGCCCTCCTTAAGGCCAACAGCCCCCCAGTTGAACTTTGGCAGCAGGAACACAGCAGACAACTCCCCTTTGTGAAAAAGGGGCTCATCCCTGGCATGGATTTTGTGCTTGGCCATTTGAAATGCTGGCACCAGAGGAGTGG